TGGTATGTTCATGAGTCTATTATAGAGTTCAAATTTGAAAAAAAAATCAACCACAATTCTTCTTAATTTCTTTTAAAAATTCTTTTTATAAACAATTTATTTTTATATTTTAGTGTTCCTTATATGATTTGGATGAGGTGAGGTAAAATTGAAAGATAATTTGTATCACTCTATTGCAGACAGTTCTTTTCCTGAAGTACAGCATGATCAGAGTAGGCCGTTTCAGGATTTTTGTGTTCAATATTCTGGTGTAGGGGGCAAAGGGAAAGCTTCCCCTCCACTCTCTGAAGGTTTGCTGAAAAGCAACTGACAACAAGCAGACTAATAGGAGAAAAAGGTGTAGATATTTTTTAATGTGCATGAAGGGGGCAATTGCAAAAAGATTACCCAATAAGTCAATAGAGTATAGAAACATATTTATTTACCCTTTTTTGTAAAGCAGAGAGAGATGGGGAATTTAGACCATTCTTCTCATGAATAGTAAATTACCATTAGGGATAATGAATAGACCTGGGAGACAAAGTTAATTTGTAAATGATTCTCTTTAGGATTTGAATCATCCTGAGAGGTGATACTATCTGTTTGAAAAAGTCCATCTAGATGTGGTTGATTCCCTCAGTGACAAATAATGAGATTTCCAAGACGGGATGAAAGATGATTGTGTTGCTCTTTGGAATTTCAGTTTTTAGATAAGAGAACTTCAGAGAACATCCTTATCTTGTGGTTTGAGAGAGACAGAAGTGTCGAAAGGTGCAGGGCAAGCAAGGGAAGGGCTGAGAGACCTTGAGACTCTTTCTTTAGCTCGGTATGTCAAAGTCTCATTTTGTGAGATACTTTTTCAGCACCCCAACACTGGGGATAAGACAGCAAAGATGCGTTAGGCATTGGTTGCTACATTTGGGAGAAAAATACTTCAAAGGAATTAAAGGTTATCAAAAGTGGTTCTTTAATGAGAACACTGGGACACAGGGAGGGGAGCAACACACAGTGGGGCCTGTTGAGGAGAATAAAGGTTGGGAGAGGGAGAGCATTAGGAAAAGTAGCGAATGCACATGGGGCTTAATACCTAGATGATGGGTTGATCAGTGTGGCAAACCACCATGGCGCACATTTACCTATGTAACAAACCTGCACATCCTGCACATGTATCTCAAAACTAAAAATAGTGGTCATTTCTCCTCTTTATTTCTAATAAATACATTTTTCCAAACATATAGAAGATCAAATTGGATTAAATTTTTTATGACTTGCATTGTGCAAACATTTGGGAAATATAACATTTAAATATTATATTAGTCCGTTTTCACACTGCTGATAAAGACATGCTGGGCAATTGACAAAGAAAAGAGGTTTACTGGAGAACTTACAGTTCCACGTGGCTGGGGAAGCCTCGAAATCATGGCTGAAGATAAGGTGGAGTAAGTCTCACTTTATGTGGATGGAGGCAGGAAAAAAGAGAGCTTGTATAGGGAAACAGCTTGTATAGGGAAACGCCCGTTTTTAACACCAACAGAGCTTGTGAGACCCATTCACTATCACAAGAACAGCATGGGAAAGACCCACCCCCCATTATTCAATCATCTCTTACCGGGTCCCTCCCACAGCTCATGGGAACTATGGGAGCTACAAGATATTTAGGTGGGGACACAGCCAAACCATATCATTCCACTTCTGGCCCCTCCCAAATCTCATATTATTACATTTCAAAAACAATCATGCCTTCCCAACAGTCCCCCAAAATCTCAACTCATTTCAGCATTAACTCAAAAACCCATAGTCCAAAGTCTCATCTGAGACAAAGCAAGTCCTTTCCACCTATGAGCCTGTAAAATCAAAACAAGTTAGTTATTTCCTAGATACAATGGGGGTACAGGCATTGAGTAACTACAGCTATTCCAAATGGGAGAAATTGACCAAAACACAGGGGTTACAGGCCCCATGCAAGTCTGAAATTCAGCAGGGCAGTCAAATCTTAAAGCTCTTTTGAAAATGATCTCTTTTGACTTCATGTCTCACATCCTGGTTACACCGATGTAGGAGGTAGATTCCCATGGCCTCTGGCAGCTCCACTCATGTGGCTTTACAGGGTATAGACACTCCGCTCCTTGCTGCTTTTACGGGCTGGTGCTGCATATCTGTGGCTGGAGGCGCATGGTGCAAGCTGTCAGTGGAGCTACCATTCTGGGGTCTGGAGGATGGGGATCCTCTTCTCACAGCTCCACTAGGTGGTGCCCCAGTAGGGACTCTGTGTGGGGCTGTCACCCCACATTTTTCCCACACTGCCGTAGCAGTGGATGGGCTCGCCCCTGCAACAGAATTTTTTCTGGGCATGCAGGCAGTTCCATACATCTTCTGAAATGTAGGCAGACGTTCTCAAACCTACCATGTGGAAGCTACTAAGGCTTGGGGCTTCCACCCTCTGAAGCAACAGCCCGAGTTGTTCCTTGGCCTCTTTTAGTCAAGATCGGAGCAGCTGGGACACAGGGCACCAAGTCCCCAGACTGCACACAGCAGAGGGACCCTGGGCCTGGCCCACAAAACCATTTTTTCCTCCAAAACCACTAGGTTTGTGGGAGGGGCTGCTGCAAAGGTCTCCGACATGCCCTGGAAACATTTCCCCATTGTCTTGATGATTAACATTTGGCTTTTTGTTATTTATGAAAACGTCTGCAGCTGGCTGGAATTTCTCCATAGGAAATGGGATTTTATTTTCTGTTGCATTGTCAGGCTGCAAACTTTCCAAACTTTTATGCTCTGTTTCCCTTTCAAAACTAAATGGCTGTATCAGCACCCAAGTCATCTCTTGGATACTTTGCGACTTCAAAATTTCTTTACCATATTCCCTAAATCGTCTCCATCAATTCAAAGTTCCACAAATCTCAAGGTTGGGGCAAAATGCCACCAATCTCTTTGCTGAAACATAACAAAAGTCACCTTTGCTCCAGTTCCCAAAAAGTTCCTCACCTTTATCTGAGACCACCTCATCCTGAATTTATTTTTTCTATAATTATCAGCATTTTGGTCAAAGTCATTCAACAAGTGTCTAGGTCGTTGCAAACTTTCCCACATTTTCCTGTCTTCTTCTGAACCCTCCAAACTGTTCCAGCCTCTGCCTATTATCCAGTTCCAAAGTTGCTTCCACATTTTCAGGTATCTTTTCAGCAGTGCCCCACTCCTCTGTTGACATGCTGCTCATAAAGACATACCCAGACGCAGTTTACAAAGGAAAGAGGTTTAATGGAGAACTCACAGTTTCACTTGGCTGGGGAAGCCTCACAATCATGGCGGAAGACAAAGAGGAACAAGTCACATCTTTCAGGGATGGCAGCAGGAAAAAGAGAGCAGGGAAACACCGTCAGATCTCTTGAAATTCATTCACTATCATGAGAACAGCATGGGAAAGACATGCCCCCATGATTCAATCATCTCCTACAGGGTCCCTCCCATAACACATGGGAATTATGGGAGTTACAAGATGAAATTTGGGTGAGGACACAGAGCCAACCGATATCAAATATTAAGTGGAATTTGGGCCTTGTTGAGTATATATATTTGGATATAAACATCATGATTTCCTTGTAAGTCATATCTTTTATGCATTCTCTGTCAAGTTAGTGTGCTAATTGGCCCTGTGTAGTTTTACAAGACAATGTTTTCATTCACTAACAACATTTCTTACTGCATTAATAATATCAACACAGTCACATTTCCCTGTGTGCTACCTTCAGGATTATGAGAGATGTAGGGACATTTGTTAAGCCCAGGTAAATATTAAATATCACTTATGAGAGAGAGAGAGATAACAATGGCATTTGCTGCCAGCCTGAAGGTCCTTTGAGATGTGTATGAATGCATATGACTTGTTCAGCCTATTAAGCAGATGCTAGTTCAGCTGAAGTACATGTGTTAATATTCCAACAGTTTGGGGGTAGGGTCATGGGGGAATTATGTATGTATGAAAATTGCAGATATGAGCTTTGGAGATGCCTTTTAAAATTTTTATTTATTTAAGCATTGATCTCAAAGATGTATTAATACTATTAATTTTGATTATAGAAAATTGTAAAAATTAAAAAGCAATTAGTAATGGAATAAAAACATGAAGGAAAATAGTACTTAAGATTTTGAGGGAGGTTTATTGGAAGCCAAATGTAAAGATCCACCCATGAAGACACACCAATGCAGGGTCTGTTCCAAGTTGGGAGGGTTTCCTAAGGAAGTCTAGAAGAAGGGAGGAAGACTCCTCATATCAGAGTTGTTCTTTTTATTGGAGGGTATAATACAGAGGTTACAATCACTGGCTACAGATATCAACATACAGGTTACAATGTCCACATGCAAGACAATCAGCAGAACTTCCTGATTCTGAAACAAATCAGCAAAACTTGGTGATTCAAAGACAAATCAGTATCCTTTTCAATGTCACTAGGTTTTGTATTCATCAGTATGTAATTTGAGGAACTCAGAAAAATTTCTTTAGTGACAGGATGCTACCATAAATCACAAAGCAGGTTAACTTGGAAGCCTGCTTACTTTCAAAGTAAACTGCCAAATATGGCCTGTAAGTTATCAAAAAAAAATAAATTGATCATTAATTTTGTCTGAAGTTTTGCTTAGTCCAATAACCAGACATTGATTTTCAGTAGTTCCTCTCTACTGTTTATTTGGTCATGTGATATTATGAACGGTAAGGAATTATTTAAAGTCTAAATATTACAACTCTTTCAATGAGGGAAGCCATTTCTTAATATTTCAGCCCAGAAAATGAATAATATATTTCTTTATACTATTCTGAGATGTGAGAAAGTTACTGAGGTCTTTTTCTTTACAGAAAGACAAAATTAAAGATTTAAAAGAAAAGTGAGATTTTATAAAACTAGATTTTTATTGTGTGTTTTTGCTGCTCTAGATGTATAAAAAATCTGAAATCATGAAAAACAAACAAATGAAAACTCCCAATTACTGAATGTGAGTATTTCCTTTTTTCTTTTTTCTTTCAGCTTTCGGGAGAAGTGATTTTGCAAATTGCCAATGAACCTGTTCTGCCCTTTAATGCACTTGATATAGCTTTAGAAGTTCAAAACAACCTTAAAGGTAATTCTCCTTTGAATTGTAGTAATTTTACCAATGAAAAATTGTTTAAATAATTTTCAACAAGGAATGAAGTCATCGATGATCTTACTAGTTTTGACAATGCTGTGCTTCCTCGAGAAGATGATCCTGGGAAGAACCTGGAAGAATTTTAGCTTTTAGTCAACAAAAATGAGATGCACTTATGTGTGAGTATAAAGCAGAATATCAGATTTTAAAGGATGGCCCATGTGTGTTTTCAGAGAGATTTATAATTCTAAGTTTGTGTTATTATTTTCAGGTTCCATATAGAATAATATAGTTCAATGATCCAGTTTTTTTTTTTTTTTAACATTACATCTAACAGCCAATCAGTTCAAACAAGACTGGCCTGGAAGTTTCTCTTTTGGGGTTGGTTTCTATGTGGTATGGGCCCCACTCCGTTTGACTGAGATGTTGGCTCAGACCTTAGATCAAAGATGATAAGGAAGAAACCAGGCAATTATTTCCGAGTTTCTATTTCAATTCCTTCATGTTTGAATATATATCTCTCTGAAGAATTCTGACCCCACCCTAATAATTACCTCTACTTTCCCTTTATCTACATCCAAATCTTTCAATTAGGCTCCTAATTTGCCTTCATTAACCAAATACAAAGAGCAGTATTGTGATTAAAGATTTTACCCTCCTCCTCTTTGAGTCACACATCTTCCTAACAGATCTTCAATGAGTCATTTGTGGACAACTATTTCTCATTAAAAAAGTCAACATTTTAACTGTAGAGCTGAAACAGTAATCCTTTGAAAATAGATCATTCTAAAAAGCCAGGTATTTCCAATAGCTGAAGATTTAATCCTTTTTTCTTTACCTGGTTTGCTTCTTACTGTCTGAATTAGAGATTACTGCTTTTTCCCCTTCAGTACTTCTTATGAGTTTATTATAGTGGCTGTAAAACTATGACCTTGTGAACAGCTATTGGTTCCCATACAAAATAGCCTCATATTGCTTTGCTTTTTGTACATTTAAGTTAGCCTCTATGTAGTTTCCTTCTTTCCTACCTACATTAGGATTTCATCTCACTGTTGTCAGTGTGTCTACCTGTAGCAGTCACTCTGGGCAACCAAGCATATGACATTTTGCAAAATAAGATCAAAGCAGGTATAAATAAAGGTTTAAATAGTTTGTGCATAATAAATATTATTTCTGAAAATACTTTTTAAACATTAATTTTATTTGTTCTATAAACCATTTTGCTGTTTCTTTAGTTTTTATATTATATACTTCAGAAAAATCTGTTGGTATTACATATAAAACTTTAAACTTTCAGAAAACAGAAGGAGGTTAACAACCTTACAATACTTGTTTATCTGTAAAGCAGTAACTGTTATGCATGAAAAGAAGCCCCAAAGAGTATATTACAAAATGCAAACATTATATAATAGAATTATAGATGATAAGTTGCTTTTCTGAGGCCAAAAGTGTTAGCAATACTGTCATTTTACATGCTAAAATCCATTTTTTAAACAATGGAGTTTAGTCTTCAAAATTCATAAATATGATTCTTTTGTGGTTCATATTTGTAATGATTGGATTTTCAGGCTAATGTGTGAGATGTACCTCCTTCAAACCTTGTTAGCACATTGGCACGTTACAATTGTCTGACATAGCAAATCTACAGATTAACATATTATTTCATCATTATAACTACTATATGAACATGTAAGTAACACAGACTGAGAATGATGCTCAAAAGTTGACCTTTTGGATTATTGCTAGAATCATATTATTAATCTGGTTTATGTGGATAATTAAGGACCTCTTTCAACCTCTGAAGAAAATTATGATCTTTCTCCACAGAAAGGTACATGTATATAAAAATGTTTGCATGTAATCGCTATGGACTTCACAGTATTTCCTGAATCCACTTTTTCATTGATTTAAATTAAATATTTAAATTAAATATTTATTGAGCCTCTATGGTATGCCTGGCATGGTTCCATTATCCAAACAAACAAACAAAACAAAAACAAACAGCAGCAAAATAAATAAACCAAAATTAAAATCCCTGCTCCTAAGAAACATACCTACATGCAGTCCCATAGTGGGATAAAATTGGCATAAATAAAAGCAAATCTTAAATTACCATTATGTTCAAAGTCATATTAGTCACTGACTGCCATAATATGAATTACTGTTATATAAATTTGTATTTCCAAAATAAATATGATAGCAGAACATAGCAGTTACATTTAGAGTCTGGAGGAGATATCTCACCTGAGAAAACAAATTTCAGATTCATCCTAGATGAATTTACTAGGAGATTGCATGTAGGGGACAGAAAAGGTGTAAGAATTCAGAGGCACTCCTACCTTTAGAAGCTGGGAGAAAAGGTACTTTAGAAGCATAGAAGGAGATCACCAAGGAGTGGCCAAACAATAATAGAAAAACAGGTGAATGTTATAACCAGAGGCCAAGTGGATAAAATATTCCCAAGAAGAGGAAGTAATCAACTGTGTCAAATGCTGCTAGTGGGTGAAGAAAAGGAGGACTGAGAATTGACTACCGGATTGAGCAATGTGGAAGTCATTGGTGATCTTAACAAAACCATTAATGGATTCGTATAAGCAAAAGCTGGATTAGAAGGCATCTGAAAGAAAACAAGGTGATAAATTGGGGATATGTGTTGGTGTCAGAGGCATAGGAACCAGAGTGACTCCACCTTGAGTGAGAGCTAGAAAAATGAGGCTGGGACTTGCTGGGCTGCATTCCCAGAAAGTTAGGCATTCCTAGTCCCTCAGTGTTTATGGTTAAGGGAACAGATTGATAATGTTTACTCAACAGACCCAGACTTGGGAGTGTTCTAATATACCAACATCTGGAGAACAAAGGCATTCCTAATTTTGTTTTAAAGACAACAATATTTATACTTGCAAAATATAGTAATTAAAAATTAATCCTTTATCACAAACACTTATAGCAGAGCATATCTACCCATGATTTTTTTATCCTGTACATAGGCAAGCGTTGTACCCACGGTGGACACGTTGCTCCTCTTACAAAGGAAACGCCCTGCTCTGTCTATGGAATCGCTGTTCTTTCACCACTTTACTTTCTTAAGAAACTTGCTTTTGATTTGCACTGCAGACTCGCCCTGAATTCTTTCTTGTATGAGATCCAAGAACCCTCTCTTGGGGTCTGGATCTGGACCCCCTTCCTGTAACAGTGGTATAAGTATGGAGTCAAGGAAATGTAGCCTGCTTTTATTTTGATGACAGTGATCTAGTGGAGAGGTAAAATGTGCTCACACAAGACAGTAAACCGGGAATTACTCTACTGATTTTCCTAAGTGGGGGAAACAAAGAGGATTGAGGACTTTTCATTAGTTAGGAACTGTAGTAGACCATTCAGGCAGTTTTAACAAAATACCATAGACTGGGTGGCTTATGAACAACAGTAATTTATTTCTTACAATTTGGAGGCTAAGATATCCAAGATCAAGACACCAGCAGTTTCACTGTCTGGTGAGGGTTTACTTCCCGGTTCAAAGATTACCATCTTTTTGCTATAACTCCACGTAGTAGAAGTGTTGCGGGAGCTGTCTTGTGCTTAACAGGGCACTGGTTTAATTTTTGAGGGCTCTGGCCTCACGAACTAATCCATTCTAAAAGGTCCCACCTCCTAATACTATCACTTGCGGGGTTAGATTTCAACATATGAATTCTGGGGGGACATAGCACTCAGATCAAAACAGAAACACAGTAGTCCATCCATGAAAATGTGAAGGGAGGCAGAACACACAGCAAATAGGTAAATTTGGTTTTGGGATTCCTTGTCAAGTTTCTTTAGATTCGAAAAGCATAAAGTAGTTGTTTTTTTTTGGAGGGTAAGAAAGTGAAAAACTATGGAAATGTAAGTTTTGGGGACAGCATTAAGAGCCCAGAAGAGATACATACTATAAATGGGAGAATTCCACATAATTTTGGATTTTTTCCAACCTTCAGGGGGAATGCAAATGTAGGTGAGAAAAGATTCTTTTCCTCACTTATCACTAGGTTAATGGTTGAGACACCTAATCACAAAAGGTACATTAAAACAAGTGTGAACTCAAAATATCTGAGATAGATCTTAGTCAACTTAGAAATTTTATTTTGCCAATGTTAAGGGTGCATCCTTGATGCAGATTCAGATCTCAATGAATATATGTAAGACGTACATTGGTTTGTTACAGGAAGGCGGGACAGCTTGAAGCAGGGAGGGGACTTCCAGGTCATAGATAGATAAGGCACAAAAACTTGCAGTCTCTTGAGTTTCTGATTCACCTTTCACTGAATACGCAATTTACAGGAATTGTCACTTATGCCTTAGTCTGGTTTAGTGAAAAAGTAGGGCAAAGGAAGCAATCAGATATGTGCTTATCTCATGTGAGCAGAGGGATGACTGATTTCTGTCTGTCCTTTGTCCGCAAGGAATTTCCTCGTGAGGGAAGTATATAGCTTTTTAAAATCTTTGTAGCTATACTGTATAGTAATGGAATAGGAGGCAGGTTTGACTGACACAGTTCCCAGCTTGACTTTTTCCTTTGGTTTAGTGACTTGGAGGTCCGAGATTTATTTTCCTTTCCCACAATAGAAAGGCATTCAAATTTATATAATATAAGTTTTGCACAACACAGGAGCCTTCAGAAATGAAGACCCAAAGAAAGAAAGAGGGAAATGTGTGTATTTTTATGGTAAGTTTGACGAAGAGTTCCAAAGTATGATTAGAAGACAAAAAGGCATAGTCTAATTGTAATAAGTTGGGGGAATTTAGAAAGATCTCTGTTTGGATTATTCTCAGTGTCTCTGTGTCTTTGAGGACAAGGATGTTTCTTTTCTCCAGGTCTAGGGAAGGTATTTCTGGAAAAAATGTTTTATGTCCTACTTCAGAAGAAGATCAGATCATTCTTTTTTTTGAGATCTAGTTTCATTCTTGTTGCCCAGGCTGGAGTGCGGTGGTGCAATCTCAGCTCACTGCAACCTTCGCCTCCCAGGTTCAAATGATTCTCTTGCTTCAGGCTTCCAAGTAGCTGGAATTACAGGCATGCACTACCAGGCCCAGCTAATTTTTGTATTTTTAGTAGAGATGGGGTTTCACCCTGTTGGTCAGGCTGATCTCAAACCCCTTAGTTGCTCTGCCTGCCTCAGCCTCCCAAAGTGCTGGGATTACAGGCGTGAGCCACTACGCCCAGCCAGACAATTCTTTTATATCCTGATTCAGGGAAAAGGGGCAGGAGAAGGTCAGAGACACTGTCTTGCTTTTTTGCTTCCTCAAATGCCAAGGTACCGTATTTTAGGGTAGGGTTTCCTGAAATTCATCACAGGCATAGAATAGGCAGAGTTGGGTTTAAGCAGGGCTAGACCTTTTCTGAGAGCTGCACAATGAACTGTGTAGGATAGAGAAAACTGGATGTATATAAAGGATGTATGTAATGAATGCATTATGAAGGACCGAAGTATCCTAACTGGGGTTGGAATAAAGTGAGGTTACAAAGGGAATGAGGGCGAGTGGAAAGGAGGTAGGACAGATAGACTTCATGTCTTGGTGGGATCGAAGAATTGACAGCACATGAGCTGACAAGGCACGAGGTGGGGGTTGGAAAGTTGGATTCATGAAAATGAGATCACAGAAAGCGTGCAGACATCAGTAATGACAGTGTCCAGGCCAGGGTATGGCCATGAGAGTGTGGTAGGTAGTTGCTAGCAGCAAAGAAACTAAGGAAAAGAGAGCATCTCTATGGAGATACTGAAATTGCCAAGAATTAAGGGTTGCATAAGAGTGAGTGATGATGAGTCAAGAGATAAAAATCTGCAAAGAATGAATAGCGGTGATCTAGAAACACTTCATATTATTCTTCTAGGGTGGGTGGTACAAAAGCACAGGGGGGAAAGCACCGCTGCCTGTGAGAGCTGAAATGCAACTGATATCCTTAGGGGAGAACCCGGTTTTAATTAGAGCAAGAAGGGAAAGAAAATACTCTCAGAATAGGCCAGGGAAATTAATAACCCTTTCCATAATAGTTGTATCTAAGCGTGTGTCATCACAGGAGGAACGAAACAACACAGAACTGCAATGATTCTGCAGAGATTTTCACTCCAAGGCAGACGCCACTGTGTATAAATGAATCTGTCTGTAAAATCCGAGTTTCTGAAATGGATGAGCCAGGAGACTTTGGCTTCTTACAGTTAGACTTCTGCCAAAGATGAAACTTTTTCTTTGGTTATTGATTGTTGTATGTGGTTAGTTTTCTTTGGATGTGAAATTCTTTGGGTCTCTCTGTCACTTTCACTCAGAAAGATGAGATCAGACTGATATGTACACATATTAGAAAAAACAAAGCAGAGCAAAACAAAATGTAACCAAACAAAATAGGCAAAAAAAATTTATTTTACCATGTCCTGTGTTTGATAGAATTAAACATGTAACTGTTTGATAGAATTAATAGGATGTGACACCTTTAAACTATGTGTTTTGTTATTTTACTTATTGTGATGTAAAATAATCATGGTCAAAGATTATTCAAATATTTGCTAAACTGTACGCATCTGTACTATTTTAGTTGTACCAGCTATAATCCAAATACAGTAAAGTGCTAATGTGTGAGTAATGGAAACCACTTATCAACACT